GTCTAGTTTACAGCTAACAAGTATCCACTGTACTATTTTATTTTACTATTTTTCCATAGGTTTGAAATTTTTCAAAATGAAAAGTTGAAAAACTACCTAAAGTAAGCACTGTCCTTACTTACTCCTCTCAAATACTTTATTTTTATTACCTATTTCTGCTAAATTTATTACATTAAGATCACAATAACATAACTGTTCCATAAATCTAGGCACTATGAGCTAATATAGTTGAGAAGCAAGAAATCTACTGCCCTTCCGAAGCATAAAGCCTCTAAATTAAGTTATATACAATTAGGGTTATTGTCTAACTGATGTTCAAAATATATCTAAGACCAATAAGCTCCATGAAGGCATCGATTTGGTCCTTTTTGCTCCTCAATGTATCTCCAGCCCCTAGGAAGACTGCACAGGTACAGAATGGGCACTAAATAATATTTATGGAATTAAAGATTTAGCAGCAATGTTAAAACCAGAATCTTAAGAGATGCCAAACCATAACTTTTTTTTCCTTTCACTTATTTCCATCACCAATTTTCGTTTGTATGTTTTTAAAGCTTTCTATTTACAAAAACCCAAGTTAAAATAAAACATGTCCAATAATTTTTAACATTCAGGTCTAAATAAATAGTTATTACTATTAGGGAAATATTTATTCTTAAATTGACCTAAATACAGTGCCTGAATTTTGTGTTAGTTTATTCTAAAAATCAGGTACTCACAATTACTATAAAAATCTACAAAATATGAACTTTCACAATTTGCCACTTTTGAATTGGCCCTTCCTAACACCCCATGTAACACATCACTAAGCATTGAACGCTACAAGGTACCTCCTGTGTGCAGGTAAAGAAATTCAGAGCCACAGTGCCACTTTTTATTACCTCAAACAAAATTATCTCAATCAGTAATAACAATAAAACCACCCTATTTGTTCATATACCAACTCATTTCCTTTCTACGTTAAAAACAGTCACCTACATATTTAGTTAGGCCCAACTAGTCCACAATAATCTTAATATTAACAAAGTAAACTCATACTTTAGATTTTAAAAAAATTAGTTATATAAAGTAAAACTTTTAAATAAAATTTGTATTTATAAATTGATTATACCCATAATTTAAATAAAAATATCCAAACTTAGTATGTATTTCATTTTTATTATAAAAGCAAGTTAAGTTGACCAGTAGAGGGCACTCACTTGAAAGGGGGAAGAATTGGCCAGAGTCTTGAAGAGAAATGCATTTACAAAATTGCTATGTTTACTTCATTTTAAAAATAGAATGTTTTAATAGAGTGCTAAAGTAAGCTAACATATATAACATATTACTGGTTTAGAAAAGGTAAAGTTTAAATTACATTATGTTAGAAAATATAACAGAAACCTAATTCAGGGACTTGAATTTAACAATTAAGGGATGCTTAAAGCTAGATGTAACATATATTAAAGTGTCAAGCTCAACACTACTGACATTTTGGGCCAGGTAATTATTTGTTGTGGGGGCTATCCTATATACTACCCACTACAGGCACCAGTAGCAGTCCCTCTCCCCTCAAGCTGTGACAACAAAAATATCTGAGATATTGCCAAATGCCCCTGAGAGGCAAAGTCATCCATCCACCCTTCATTGATAACTACCAATACATACATGTAAAACCAGAAAATTAACAGCTTACAAGATTATACAATTTTTTTAACACTATTCTTCAATACTGGTATATTACTATTTTTCTCTCTATACTTTATTCAGCAAATAAAATAAATTCCATAATTAACATAGAAAAATTTTTTAAAAAGAGGAAATGATAAATCTTTTTGATTATAACTCAGAGTACTAAAGATGAAACAAGTCAATCCAATTATAAATCCATTCTTCCTTACTGAGTAGGAAACTATTTCATCAAAGAAAGAAATAATATTTGGACTGAATTATAAGTGTCATATTAACAGAACCATGCAAATGTGAATGAATTAGAGCCTAAAAATAAAAACTTCTATATCTATTTTTACTAGCATATTATGTCCACTAGATACACAATATGTATTTGCTAACTGATCAACTGTTCATTCTGACCTCAATAACTACTTGTATTTTTTAAGACAAAATTTTTCTTCTTCCAACAAGTTTTCCCTTACTAAGTACATTTCAGAGAACATGTTTTGATAACAGTAAGTAATCTCTAAACTATAAAAACATATATTATTTCTAGCGTGGCATTTTATTTGGGGGATTGCTCTGAGTTTGAATAATCTTGCACTACTAATGAAGTATTTCATTATCTCTGGAACTCTTTGATGGGCTTCATAAAAGATAAAGGTAAAAATTTTTCAGAATGGAAGCAAAGGTGATTATATGCATAGTCTCAAATATAAACATACTCCATGTATGCATCATACCTGTCTAATTCTATATCATATCTCTGCCATTAAGATGCCATTAGATAGTATACTGATAAGTTTGTAATTAGTAAGTTCAAATTTTGGTATACTGATAAATTTGAATCAGCCTCCACTATTAAATATTTCTTAGCTTGAAGGCTAATTTTTCATTTTTAAGACATTTTAAAGGTACACAGGAAATTCCACTTAACTTGGTCGTAGAAAACGTAAGATGCCACTACTTCCTAGCTAAGTATCCTTAACCAAGTTACAACCTCCATTTTTATCTATAAAATGAATGAAACAATGACCACCTTTCTTATTTCACAGTATAAATCTCTGCAAATCCTAAACCACTAGAAAATATGATATTACTTATTAAATATTTTTTCTCATCTATTTCCATTTCTTTTAATGCAGAAAAACAGAATTCCAAATGTGCAAACTCTATGTCTTCTCTCATTTTCTCTGATACATTATTCACCAATGAAAACCTAACAGAGTAGCAATATCGCCATTCTTTAACTTTTACAAAAACATCAAGTCAGCATTATTGCTTAACTATTAAAATAAACTACAAAATTCTCTTGTCTTTCTTGTAGTTGAACTACACACTAAGAATTTAATGTGTAAGATGCCTCAAAGAATCTCTGATGCCTCTTCCCAGGCAGCTACACTAGTGAGGGAACATCAGTTTCAAAAATCACAGGTAATCAATGTTCCAAAGTCAGGTTTTTGGGTTTGGCAGAAATCATAATCGAGGTATGGGTTTGAGTTTATAAATTTTTTCTACCTTTCCTCAAAATAAAGGATTAACTTTTAACTTTAGCTCTTTAAGATTTATATTGCATTTAAACAATTCTCACCAAAAAATTTCCTAACCTATTTTATCACATTATCACACATATAGTATTCATGACCTCTGACAGGAAACAGTGTAATGGAATTCTTCGTATTTTCAGAGAAGATGGAGGATACTTCTGCTAAAACTATCTTCCAAAATCCGAAGAAAACTTCCATGCTTAACCTGAATTCTATTTAAAACTTCCTTTGACTTCTGATTTAAATGGTAGAGTATGCCAAGTGCCCTTGGCTTTAGAAATGAGTGAGCTATTTAATCCTCGTGGAAGAAACAAAACAAAACAAAACCATCATATATCGTTGAACTGACTTGTAAAGAAAAAATAGAGACTATTAGATAGGTGGTCTACTTCAGTTAGACTTCTCCTTTAGTAATGCAAATTCTTAAACCGGGAAGCCAAATAAAAGTTGCTTCTATGTTTAAATCAAATCTTTGTAAATAAGTGTTATTTCTCCGGTTTTTTTCTCTGCAGTACCAAAAATATTTGACATTTCCTTATAAAACTTATCTATCAATCCTCGAAGTTCTAAACCGTATAAACATCTTCCCAAGGCCACCAATGCCCTCAGAATATAACTCAGTGCAGTCAAAATGTTTCTTCAAGGCATTACAAAACACTGTCCCTTAACAGGGCATTTGACAGCATATTACCTTAACAAGGCATTCTAGATTACAAAGCTTGGGACTCAGAGAAAGTTCTGGGAAATTTTTCAGAACTGATATAAAAAACTGGTATATCGGATCTAGAATAAAAGTAAGGGGTTAAGATTGCTTATCCTGAGGTACAGAAGTCTAAGAAATAATCTAACAACATAAGTCTATTTCAAAGACAAAGCAATATACTTATTTCCATCTCCACTGATGCTAAACTTAATGTGAAAATTTAGATTATGCATAAAATACATAATAATTACATCATAGAAATGAGTTAATGAGGACAGTTCTGTTACCCGCTCCTAAAGGTCTTTGGGATTAAATTAATCCTTATCTGCTTGATACTACCTAACCTCTCAAGGTCTCTTCCAGGCCTTTATTTTATCATTTTGCTGTTGGCCTTTACTTTGGTAATTTTTCATTAAGCTAAAAAAGTCTGAAAATTATTCATTAATTAATTTGTAATAAAAACAATTCTAACATTTCCTTGAGTAAATTAAAAAGGACTGCAAAGGATTGGCAGTTGTAACCTTATATATCACCTGATATATATATAAGCAAAGAATGAGCTTATAAAAATGCATCAAGTAGCTGTAGGTTCTCCACTACTTCAATATGAAAAGAAAACAAGGAACTACTATTACCTTTTTTAATCAACCATCAAAAGATTGCATTTCACCAGTATAATTCAACTCTAACATGTGACATCAAAATATATTAAAAAAAAAAAAAAAGCCCATAAAAATAGTAGCTACGTTTTAAAAAAAATTACTGTTAGGTACAGATAAGATGTAAATTTACATTTTCACCCTCTCATAAACTCTGATACATACTTCTATCAAAATGTGCATATACTAACACAGAATGAACATCATGGATCTTGAGATTCTTCTGAGAGAAGGGCTTTCCAATATCTATGGTTACCTGTAACTTTAGGATAAAGCCTGAAAACCCAAGTCTGATAACTTAATAAAACTATTTTCAGTGTAATTATCTTGTAATAAATAGTCATAAAAATGATCAAGAAAATCTTTTTTTTTTTTTTTTTGGTACCCAAATGATGGGCCTGCACAAATCAATATGCATAATATTAAAACAAGATTTACCTCTATCGTAGGATCATATTCATCCACAAAGTGATTCTGAATTAGCTGTATCGTCAAGGCACTCTTGCCTACGCCACCAGCTCCAACTACCACAAGTTTATATTCAGTCATTTTCAGCAGGCCTTATAATGAAAATAATAAAAATGTGACTAAATTAGAACATGTGTCACACATGAGGTTAATATAATCCCAACACTCTATCAATACCTTTTAATACAAATTCACTTTCATATGGAAAATTATTTCAAAATATCTCACAAAATTCAATGAAAATAGAGACTATTACATAGGTGGTCTACTTTAGTTGGACCACCTATAATTAGTGACCTATTATATAGGTGGTCAAACTTCAGTTAACCACAGATGTGTACTGCAATAAATTGCACTACATTCACAAACTCCCACATCAACATTTGAGAAAAATGCCGAGTACAAAGTTCTTTTATCTTATATTCAGGTTGTTCTCTCCAAACAGCCAGTCTGCTGTTCTGTAGCAGTTAATGGCTCTCAAAGGAACATGCCATGACTTTACTCAGTACAAGTGTCTAGCACAATGCTCTATACCCTGTGGACACACCCACACAAAACTGTTGACAGCTATCTCTACAGTATTCCTAGTTGGCTCTGGCCCCTAAGAGTTACAAGTGGATATGCTGAGTGTCTTTGTTGGAGCAAAGAGCTATAGAAAACTTTAAAAAGCACCATCGTAGTTAGTTCTCCTGGATAGTTAGCAAGAATCAGATGGGGTGTGTTGGATTGGCGGTGGGGGGTGGTGGTGAATTATCAAATAAAGCTTAACTGTGCAATGAGGAAATAAAAATTGAGACACCAAAGCAGATAAAGACAAAATTTGATGACATTTTAATCTATAAAATATCAGCTGGGGGAAATAATAGTGTAAAAATTAAGAGAACTTTGAGAATTTTTAACTATTCACTATTGTTGATTTGATCATCAATTATAATATATAATATATATTACTAGTGCTGAAAAACAGCACTCTGCATAAGAAAAATATAATCATATAAACTTTAAATATAAGCACTGCTTCTAGTGAGACAATTTAAAAAAATTAGTGAATATTTCTCAATAATGCATGTGACTTATTCTTTGCATCTTGTACATTGTCTAGAGACATACAACTTGTAAGGTTAACAGCACAAGACAGAAAGTATTTAGTCAGCTGTTTCAAACTTTTTGAAATAAAATAAACTTATTTATCTCCTTTCCCTTAATAACTACATAATATTATAAACAAGGAACTGAGAAATGGCAGTAAATGCACATTATACATAGTCCCAAATTAATGAATGTGCAGATATAAACACTATATACATGTAGCATCCTATTTACTGAAGACCAAGAGTTATTCGAATAGGCACCAAAAAAAAAAAGATAATATGGTTTTCCAAATGATAACATACTAACCACCTCCTCACCCTATTTCTGAACCTTCTCACAAAGAGCAGACAGGCTAGACAACTGTTATATCACAGACTGTCACATTACAGCTCCCTGACCTATTCTGCGCCACCCAGCTTTACTTGCTCTTGTCTAGGGCTATCTAGGGAGCCACTACAAACATGTATGTTATTCTGTTTGCTCCCACTTTCTATTCCAAACATAAACCCTTACAAATGGGACAGATGAGGAGAATCACATCAAAATGTATCCTCTAGCTCGCTGCTCACCAAGCTCCACAAAACAATTTAGACGGCCTAGAAAAGCAGTTCTCAAACACGGTCCAGGAACCCATTAGGGTTTCTAAGGCTTTGCGGGGATCCAAGAGGTTAAAACTTTTAACATTATACTACTACAATGTTAATACCCTTTCCACTCCTGCCCTTTCACAAGTCTACAGTATTGTTTTCCAGATGTGTGAACACAATAGACTGAATGTAGAAGCAGATAAGAGGATCTGGATGTCGGCTATTAAGCCATACAATTAAGGAGATTTGCAAAAGTGTGAAACAAGGCCACTATTCTCACTGATTTTTTGGTTTTGTTTTGAAAAAGTCATTTTCCATAAAATGCCATTTACATTATCAAGTAATGGGCTTATCATTTCTATTTTTTAAATGAATTAATAAATGTTTAAAATTCTCGGTCTTCATTTCTATGATGGTAAATATTGACATACCCCATTTTGAGATCTTCAGTAATTTTGAAGAGTGTAAAGGGGTCCTTACAACCAAAAAGTTTGCTAGCCTAGGAGATCCTGTGGATACTGGATTAGAGAAAGCTTAGCTGTATATATGTGTGAACTCTGAGACAAACACACCTTCTGGTCTACTTGTTTATCCAGTGGCTGTTTCTGGAAAAAAAAAAAAAAATCCTTAAACTGGACTTTAAA